AATTTTGGGTGATACAACATCTTGTATTGTATAAAATAAATTTATACTTTTATGTTATGGTGGATTGGATTCATGGATTCAAGTGAAATCTAAACATTGGACCAATATGTAAACTTAAAAATTGTATGTACGAAAATCTCATAAAATTTAGATACCAAAACATAATTGTTCAATGATTATACATTAGAATCAAATTTGGGGTATCAAAATGTAAAATATACATCATAGTGACTAAATTGTGATTTAATTAAATTTGGGTAAATAATTAGGCAACAGTAACCAAACTTCACATTTATATTAAATTTGGGGTATCAAAATGTAAAATATACATCATAGTGACTAAATTGTGATTTAATTAAATTTGGGTAAATAATTAGGCAACAGTAACCAAACTTCACATTTGTATTAAATTTGGGGTATCAAAATGTAGAATGTACATTATAGTGACTAAATTGTGATTTAATTAAATTTGTGTATCAAAATGAAAATAATTAGGCAACAGTAACCAAACTTCACATTTATATATATTAACTTTAGTGAATACTGGTCGTTAGATTAATCTAGGATGATTATTAATTAGTTGTTATTAATTGGTTAATGGTAATTTGGAAAATTTGGTGTCGTTTAGATGAGTAATTTTGATAACGAGGGATTTGGTTTAAAATCTTTCGTTTAAAATACCGGAGAATTTATATGTGAGATTTAACTGTAATAACTCGTTTGCATTGACATGCAGAATTTTAAGCTGAAATACCAAATTACTTTAGTGCCCCCATCATATACTAGCTCTTCACCTTCTTCCGTTGTTCATTCTTTTCACCAAACCCTGTTCTTCGATGAAACCATCGCCGACTTCCTCCTCGCCTTCATCAAGTATCTTCTAGGGCTATATCCATCCATAAACATTCAACACCACAAGCAATTCACCAAACCCAACATTCAAAGCAAAGCCCAAACGCTGTAATCGCTCACCGATCGTCGTATAGATCCCAAACCCCTCTCTTGTCCTCCCTCTGGTGGATCCTGGTATGCCGCCCATTCCCATTCCCCTTCCTAGACGCCGCAAACCCGGATCTTCATCCTCGACGACTATCCCATTGTAATCCCCATCCTTGGCCGTCGAGTAGAAACATAGTATTGGTGGCCAGTAGGGGAGGGTTGCAGGGAAGAAATGAAAGAAGAACAATTCTTCTTCTTCTGGTACCAAGGAGAGCTTGGGAGGTGTTTTCAAAATGAAATAGGAAAAGGAAGAGGAGGAATTAGAGGGATTGTAGGGATTATTTTAGTGTTGTCGTCGATTGAGGCTGGCTGGAACGGAGGTCAATGATTATTTTTTGTCGGTTGAAGCTGATCGGAGAAGAGGAATAAAGGGTAGGGTTTGGAAAGATGAAACAAAAAAAGAGGGATTGTAAAATAGCTGATTTTCATCAGCTATTTTAAAAATCTGCGTTTGAGAGATTTTAAAATCTCTAATGTCCACAATCCTTCATATTTCCAAACGCAGAATTGTTTTAAAATCCTGCAAAATGAGATATTGTTTTAAACTTCCTCACAAATTACTCATCACAATCCTGTATCCAAACGACCCCTTGGTTAATTGTGATGAACCGGTGAGAATAGGCTTGGCAATGGGGCCTCAATTCCAGGTACCCGCCTAGACCCGACCCGATTTGTGGCGGTGAAAATTTGATCAAATGGATTGTTGACCGGTTGCGGGAACCCGATACCCACTAGCCGGTTGACCGGCGATGGTGGGTTTGGTGTCCGCCCCGACAACACTCGATGCCCATTTCACCTCGATTAAGCCACCCCATCCCAGCTCATTTCACGAAAAAACTCATCCATTTAACCTAGAGCCGCTCTGAAAATCTAATCCCCAACCCTTCTCCTCCTCCTCAAATCTCGCACCTTGCTCCTCGATCGTAGAGGAAAACGACCCAAAATCGCTTCATTCATTGCTCACAAGAGTAGATACCCAATCAATCATTTGAAACCTTTTCAATTTTTTCAAATCGAGCCATTCCCGATGGCGATTATAGCACCATATTCTCTTTATCGACTCTTCGATATCTTCTCCTCCTTCTCCTTCTCCTTCTCCTTCTCCTTCTCCTTCATGCATGCGCCTATAAGTACTGTAATTGAGTGTTTTTCCTTGCAGATTCTTAGAACCTAGATCAATCATGAGGGCTATTGAGGGAAGTAGTAAGCTAGTAGCTGCATGCCATTCCCATTTCCAGCCATAGCAATTGCAAGGAGCACAAACTGTAAATATTCTTCTGGCCTGTAGTATAGGATTTGTGAAATTCTGTTCAGATTATTTATATCGAGATAGAATTCATATGATATATTTGTTTCAGAGAATTATTCAATTATTTGAACACATAATGATAATTAATTCTAAATTTTCTATTCAAAAATTGGTTTGGTATCAAAGTCTTCAAAAAAGGATTTCAACTAAACAATAACAAATGATGTTTTTCATAAGTCCAAATGATTTTTTTTTACAATCAGCAAAGTAGAAGTACCAATTATGAAATTTAGAAAACAAAATATTCCAAGAATATTCTATCAACTTTAACGGAATACACTTAGCAGGAAACTTAATTGGTATCGGGTGCACATATAATAAAGTTCATACGATGCCCTATTCTTAGTTAAGTAGTATAGCTCCCCAAATTCTCATACTTTAGTGGTATCCGAGGTATTTGACCCTATAATTTACTTTCTTATACCAAAATAGAAGTATCTGTTTTCGTTAAAGTTGCTTGCTTTTGGTGAGCTTAACACTATTATATATTCTTTTTGATGTCTTCATTGTGCTTGGTTAAATTTAGAATTTATTAGTGAAATCCTTAGCTTTAAACAAAATAATATTCAAATCTTTTCAAAAATAATTTATTAACAAAATCATCAACTTTCCATTAGGCAAACTGTTAATTGACTCTGATTTAACAAATAAATTGTTGAGTAAAATTTTTGAGTAAGGTGGCCATAAAATTGAAAAAAATAAAAAAAATAACGCAATTTTTATTAACCATTATCCCTTGTGTTCTCCACCATCGGGACTAGGGGTGGGCATTTGGTCGGTTCAGTTTCAACTGAACCGAAATTATGAATATCGGGTCCCCGAATTCTCCCAAACCTCAAACCAAATTCGAACCGAATTATAATTCAGTTCGGTTCGGTTTTTCACACAAAACCGAATTTGTGAGACTACTTGTATCTTCTCACTTTTATATTATTTTTTACCCTACTATAAACAATAAATATGCAATTATATGCATAATCAATGATAAAATCAAACTTTTCAACACATAAGTCATTAAATATTTCAAATATTTAAGTCTAAACACAACTACAAACATAAAAACCCACCATTTGGAACTTGCAATTACAGTATTTCGGTTTTTCGGTCAAAAATTTGAAAATTCGGTTCCGTTGAAAGAACCCTGATTCCGAAATATCTATATTTTCCTTCCGAATAACATTATTTCGGTTTCGATTCGGTTTAATTCGGTTTCGATTCGGTTTTGGTTCAGGTCTACCGAACCGGTTGCCCACCCCTAATCGGGACATTGACCAAACAAAGACCAAACCCCCTTCCCTCTGACAAATCCTCTCATGCTGTCGCTCAACCGACAAGCTCTCCGCAACAGTGACGCAAAGACCAACATAATTTGGTGATGTTAGAGCACAATGGATTATGTGCGCTCATAGAGATGGAATGTTGTCGGCGGCATATGCATTCCTCTCTCCCCTGCAACAAGAGTCTAACATAGAGTAGAATCGAAGATTGAAGAGATTAGTTGACAACAGTAAAAAGATGGGCACCTAATTCCAATACAATAGGTCTTTTCTATACAATATTTGATGATCCCGATTCAAGATAAATTCATAATGGGCATTCGCTAAGCAAAAGTCTAGCGTTCCTATCTTTTTGACCAATAAAAAAACAAAGTTCGTTAATGTTCTTATACTACATTTAGTTTTGTAGAGTGTAGATAACAACACATGAGCACATAATTTGGAGAAAACTCATACATTATGTTTGATGAAAACCTTAAAGAAAATGGGTTTTTCAACCGCTAGTAATTGCTAAGAGATTAAGATAATTCACACATACACACCCGTTCAATAGTATTGTACCAATGCCATATATTTGTGTTAAGCTACTTCTAATAATTGTAAGATAATTGTATTAGTTGCATGTATTATGGTAATGGTTAACTATGTATTGGTTCTCATATTTTATTCATTATATAAATAACAAATTAATTGATGCATTAACATGAGATTTTTCTCTTATGTAATAATAATGTTGTGTTATATTGGTTACTCCGGTCAACCAATTAACCAAACCGATTAAAAATTAGTTTGATTAATTTTGTTGTTGTATTAGTTTGACGGATTTGGTTATGATATTGTATTTCATGGTTAATAGAATTCTGGCTTTTTTGGTTTGGTAATTACCATTGTAACTATTCGAACACCCCCTACATGCAACCGTCGGCCTCCTCCAAATCCAATCGTCCTACCAACAAACCCCGCTTCTGGCTAGGGATGCTAATCTCGAACTATTAACGAGCGACGATGAATCGGCTGTGGGATTTGGCACCTTCTCGAGCAAAACTGATCGAATTGGGATGAGAGCACCTGCAACCGCACTTCTCCTTGAGAGGGAGGCCGGAAAAAAAAGGCTGTTGCTACTTGGCATTTTTTGACGTACCCCAAAGCTGAAGGAGGATTAGCTCTTATGATCTTCATTGTTGGAATACAACATGTGTGTGAGGTGAGAATAATTCCATTGAAACAAGAATCCTTACGGGTTGCTTGGATCTGGGTAGTTATAATGGGGCTTGGCCCTGTAAAACATCAATTTTCCATTCGTTCAACTGGTAGTTCACTATGATTTGACACAGAAACATCAATTACACAGTGATTACAATATAGTAGTCTTTCCTACAATGCAATGCAGGGATCTAATGTGAAATCAATGTGATCCTGGAGAGAAACCTTAATTACCTGCAGGCAAAGCAACAAGCTGGCGATGAATAGAATAAAGAAATCACACAGAATTTAGGCAAGAAACTTGTAAGAACGAATTTTGCAAACAGGAAGCTAAGACGGGAAGAACTGAAGAAGAGAAGGATTATTTGGTACATGTTTCCAGTTGTAAGCCACAGTTTCACGAACCTAATTCTTATATATATTGAAAATGGTGTTTTCAGTACAAACTTTACAAGCGAATTAAAAGAAGAACAAACAAACTAATGGCATGCAATCAGCCTTCTTCTTCTCCTCCTCCTCGTTTCCTTCATCTTCACCTTCACCCACTCTGGGTTGAACAGCCTAAGCATCTCTCTCATCCTGAAGAAAGAGAGAGATCGAAGAAAAAGATCCATCAGTCAGTCAGTCTACCTGTTCTGTTCATTGCCAAGTTCATAAAACCCTAAACTTGACTACCTAACAATTCAACCCATAAATTAACCAAATTGAATAAAGGGAGACATCCTATTAATTACCTCCATCTTCTTCTGCTTTTGAGCCGAGAACCTGTATTCCGAATCCCTCTCTTGAGCCAATTGAAAATTAGCATCAGCAGCTCGAATCAGAGCTTCAAGATTCTCCCTTGCAACTCTCTGATGCTTGTTGCCATATTGCCAGTTGATCGAGACAGTGCAGAGGTTTAAGGTGCTGAAAGTAAGGCAGAGATAGACGTACCCGCGATGGCTGAGGGAGAAGCGAGACATGGCTCGTTCGTTAGTGATCAAGAGGTCGAAAGAGACAGAAACGCGATCGATCGAGAAGAAATACCAAAACCTAGGGCAGGGTAAGTTTCAGGAGCGATGCGATGGTGTGGGAATTTTGAAATTAAAGGCCAGTTTTTATTCCGTTTCCTCCCCGGCCATGGGTTAGTTTTTTTTTTTTTTTTTTTGATTGATTGGAGGCAAACGCCAAACAAACACAGCAGGGGTTAACCCACTAAACAAACACAGCTAAAGCTAACACATTGGCCCAAAACATATCCAGAAAACACAAACAGAGAACAAATCGAGATATGCACCAAAGAAAAGCCCACCATCAGTTCTCATCTGCTGGTGTCTGCCTCACCAAACGGGGATGACTAACCCCTATGATATCATCCTGACAAATCCTCTTCAGATCGGTAGGGGGTTCATCTAATTCATAAGTACCGAATGGATAGACGAGACTGTGCTTCGAGAGCCAGTCCGCGGGTCTATTCCCTTCGCGATACGTATGAACCAAACGAACCACCCATTCTTGAGCTAGAAGCCGACGAATATTACCTAGAATTGTGGCATACGAGTGAACACTGTCAGTCCTCTTCTCAATTAGATTAAGAGCTAGCTGAGAATCAGATTCTAAGATAAGAAATCGGATCCCTTTACGCCGGCCATGGGTTAGTTAGCGGTGGGTAAAATGACTAGATAGATCAGCCAATTATTATGAGGTTTGTTACAAAACCGTCACTCAACTTTAAAACTATAATGAAATAATCGAGTCAAATAAGGGATGGCAACGAGTCAGGTCGGAAAAACAATGAAATTCTCTATCAAACTGGTATTGTAACATTTTAGACCGGCCGGTCATTAAATTTACCAAAATGTGCGGTACGTAGTGGGTTTAGTACGCCCCGCCAAAAGGGCTCCCCTTGAGAATCAAAACAAATCATTTGTCTTGAAAAAGGAGAAACAACGGAAAATCATCCATAACCAAAATCCAAATCTCAACAGAAATAATCCTGGTCAATTCGACACATCGAGCATCTGTCTCAAGTCTACTAATAGGAAATTCATAAAGTAAAAGGAGCTCTTGGTGAAGCTTTCTCGGTCATTAACCCTTCTGACGATATCATGAGCAGCAATGGTGTCCCAGCGGTTGGTCTGTGCGCTCCTGCTCTCTAGTAGCTCCTGAGTGCGGGTGTGAGGTTAGTCCTAGGTGCAAATTATATTAACAGTAAATAGTAATGACTACTCAACAACTTATAAGAAATAAATACGTGAACATGCAAGATTTGGTGATTTTATTAACTTGCTTAGAGGGGCCCCGTGCTCAACCTAACTAGCGCAACTATCCGACCACCTGAACGCAACATGACATGGACCTCCATCACTATGGGAGGTGAGGTACGTAGTAGACATGGACCTCCTTCACTATGGGAGGTGAGGTAACCGCGCGCCAGTTAGGCGACCGACCGATACCTAAACGTGAACATGGACTCCTTTTCTAGAGGAGTGGGTACTTACATGGACTTCCTCACTCTGGGAAGTGAGATGGTCGTGTGCATAGCTAGTTAGGTGAGTTTCTTAAACGTGTTCTTGCTTCACGTGATACATGCACTTGTTTACTCGTAATAAGAACTTGAAACTTAAACGTAGAAAGACTGTAAAACATACATAATCGAATGCATAGAGTAACAGGACATAACTTGAACATTAAATCTAGCCCCTTTTAACCACGCACCTTAATTACTTAAGTCGGAACTCGGAAAACAACCCCAGGTAGGTGCTCCAAACGAGTAATCCGCCTTTGTGAACCTATGACGGAATCCGACGTTAGATCGGTTGGATTCTCGGGTCCTAGCGATAGTTTCTTGACTTGCGATTACTTTACAACCTTTGCAGAGTAAGAGTTTGCTAATTTATTATTAATTTGGGTTTCTAATTCCCAAAATCTTTCAACGTATTATTAGAATAAGTTGTCTCCATTTCTAAGAGCAATTTACCAATTAATTATTTTAAGGGATTTGCTAGCAAAAGGTTTAAAGTAGGTTACGGAGCATACAATAATTCTCTCACCTTTATCAATCCACTAAACCTCTTAATTCAAACCAATTAAAGAAACTTACGTATATTAAGATGTTTATTAGGGAAAACAAATTAACAACTCATTGGTTAATTTACCTATCTTAAATCAAGGACTAAATAAGATATAAAATGAATCAATTAATCATAATCTCAACTTATAAATGAAATCCATTATTTTACCTTCCAAGATCTAGATAAATAATTCTCCCTAATTATAAGCAACTTATTCACATAATCTAAATTGAAAGAAGCCCATCCTCAACGTTTATAAAACTTTTGAACTCTTACTGCCAGGCCCTAAAGTTTAGGGCTGAGCCAAATCCATTTGAATCCGTGAGGACCAAACTGAAAATTTGCACCACACTTTAGCGACGACATTTGTTCCGTCGCTACAGGGCTGTAAACCGTCGCTAAAGACCCTGCATATGCATATATATATATATATATATATATATATATATATATATATATATATATATATATCTATGTTAACGTCGAATTTTAACGCAAGGTTCGAGTTCTCTTACCTCAATCACGAGCTTAGAGTACTATTTGAGGATTCCCTTACGTCAATTCCCCGTTGCCGTTCGTCCTTGAGCTCCCGCAATCCCGCCGCCGACACTTGAGTTCATGAACGTATACGGGTTGTGTTAGTTTAGCGATGCATTGAATTTGGGATTGCAAAGGTTCTGGGATCCTTACCTGTGGACGAGAGGGGAAGATCCTCGGCTACCGTTTCCCTTCCCGTGAACAAAGGCAACGGCGCACGAGCAGCGGTGGATCCAGAACACAGAAGAGCACTGGACCGAGTTTCATTAGAAATTTGAATAGTAAAAAAACATAATGATTATAGTTTTTTTTCCAATGTAAATTGTACACGACGGTATTTTAATTTAGTGATGCATCAATAATGGAGCCTACATCCATACCAATAGTATACACTATTTCAAATAAAATACTTGAGCAATCGACAAGATTTTCATCGCTCATTTTGTTTAGCAAATCAGTTCTCACGTATTTCATTGTTGAAAAGGTTCTCTTCGTAGTAGCTGTTGAAACAAGCAGCATTAACACTAGACAAATCAATCGGCATTTTGTGTCAATCCCTGCATCCACCAACTGCTCTAGTAAGTTTTCAAGGGAACAAACCTCATACTTCTTTTAGTCTTATTCGTTTTAAACTTTTAGAATTTTAGGTTTCATTATTTTTTATATGCATAATCTTTGGGGCTAAATTTAAAGGCTAAATTTAGAGTAGTGATTTGAATATGATCATCTGAATCATTTTTCTAGTTATACCCAATTTTATTATAAAATCACACTAAGCCGAATGACTAAAATCGAAAAATTCATAAGGACTATACTAACTACGGATCCAGAAGAGGGCTGGGCCGGGGCCCGGGGTGGCCACCCCCTGGATCCGCCTCTGCGCACGAGGAACGGTGTGTGTTCGGCGTTGGCGTCGCTCCCGGCTTGCGTCTTTGCCGGCCGACGTTCCGTTTGGGAGCTTGCTTTCTACTGGTCGGAGGGAGGTGAGGTCGGAGATGGGGACTCGGGGGTAACGTTGGGGTTCGATCGTGCAAGGGGGAAGAAGGTTGTTGCGGCTGTGTTCTCCCTTTATGCCCTGTTCACTTCGCATTTTGTTTTCTTATTTTTGTTTAAAAAATGAAAATCAAGAAACAAATGCCAAAAAATGTGTTCACATGTTCATTTCATTTTCATTGGAAAAATCCAATTGCCACAAATGAGAAAGTAGTGGGAAAACAATAAATAGACGTTTTGTGAAAACAGGGGGACGGGTTATTCCCCGTTCCCGACCGGAGGAGGCTCACTATTCATTAATGAGATTTCGTGTGCGATTCCCCTCGCCCGCTTTTTTTCTTCTTTTCTCTGCGTCTCCCAGACGCTGACTTTTTGTGTCGTTTTTGGCATTGGAAGTTGGAACCTTAGCTCCCTCGGACAACCAGCAGCCCCGACTCTCATCTTTATCATTTCTCTCCGAGAAGCTCCAGCCGGCGAAGAGAAGAAGCAGCAGCAACAACGAATCGTTCCCTCGTCCAGCCTCTCTCCCACCTCCAATCGGAAAAAATCAAATAACCGTCCTTTCCCCAGCTGCTACAACAGCCTCCTCTCCGGCGTGAAGCTCCCTCGAAACAACCGAACTTCCCTCTCCCCAGCAGCCTCCTCTCCGCGTGAAGTCAAATTATCACAATAGAAACAAACACGAGATTAATTACAATGAGAGTAGGTAGGGGAAGTGATTAATTAATCTCATGTTAATTTTTCTGCTTTTTGGAGCAGACAGACTGCGTGGTGGGTTGGCATAGGAAGACTCTCAATTGGGTTTAGAGTTGGGTTGCAGAGGAATGGTTTGCTTCTTGTTTATCATTTGGTAGACCTTTTGTTTGTTTGCAATTTATTTGTACTTGGTTCTGCATACTTGTTGCTAGAAGGATACATTGCCAATTGGTGAAGTGTTTGATATGATTTGTCGTTTCTTGTTTGTTCCTAATCTGTTGAGGGTCTCTTGTTTGAATGGTAGTTTGATAAGCAATGGAAAACAATGATGGTAAAAACAACAATGATTGTGTAAGAAGGACTAGAAAGGGAAGTGTATAATTTCAGTTCAAGCCAAACTCGAGCAATGGATTACGATGCGATGGAATGACGAACAAGTTGTGGGATGACTTTCAAGCTGGACTTATTTGAATTTTTATGTTGTTCTAGTACTTAATTAATATAAGATGTTGTACTTGCATTGTCTTTTTTGTAGTTTAAAAACTATTTAATTCGAATTAAAAATTATAATAATGGCTAGGGTTATATGATAATCAAGAATCAGAAAACAGAATGAAACAACTAAACATGTTTTCATTTTCAGAACTCGACTTCGGAACTCACCAAAATTCTCAGCTAAACAAGGTTTTTCAGGTTTTGTTTTCCAGGAAATGACAGCTTCATTTTCGTTTTAATTTTGTTTTCTGTTGTGGCAGCTAACAGAAATGGAATGGCAAGTAAACGACCCATTAGTTTTAGTTGACAATTAATATATATATGCCGAAGGATAAGAGCGGCCAAGCAGGTGTAGGGTTAGCCTAGGTGTAGTTTATTTCTAGGGGTACTTTGGGAATTGCAGGGTTATTAGGGTAAAATCCGCACCCACGGATACCCACCCGATCCAACCCGATCAATGACGGGTTTTGGGTCAGGTTTGGGTTTGAACCCGTTCACTATTCACCAGGTTGGGTTGGGTTTGGGTTTAGGTAAACCCGGCCCATGGGTACCCGCCCACACCCGTATAATTGATTTTCTCGGCATATTTAATATTCTAAACAACTAATCTTATTTATGTTTGTGGAGACATGTCTAATTTTTTCTTTCTAGTTGTGTAGAATGAATTTGATGTTATCGAGTGGAGATTGAAAAAATTAATTGAAAGTTGAGAGATTGATATTCGGCGTTAATTTTGAAAGGAACTTGTTGTTGTGAATTCTTACAACAAAAATCTGTGGGTACCCATGAACCCGCGGATACCCAGCGGGTTGGGTTGAGTTTGAGTTTTTCAAACCCAGTAGGTTTTATCTCATGTTTTTTTCACGGATAAACCCATGGATTTGGATTTGGCAAAACCCGACCCAATCCGACCCATTGCCATCCCTAGCAAAGATGTCAAGTTAGCGCCTCGCGGTGCTGGAGTTGGTAAAAATGCAAATAATTTACTTGCTCATATCTAGGGATGGCAACAAAACCCGAACCCACGTGTACCCACCCGACCCAACCCGGTCAACGCGGGTAAAACCCGTGTTCGGGTTTAAACCCGCTACACTATTCACCGGGTCGGGTTGGGTTTGGGTTCTGGTAAACCCGCCCACACACATATAATTACTTTCCCGGTATATTTAATATTCTAAATAATATATCTTCTTTAAACAACTAATATTCTTTATGTTTGTGGAGACATATATAATTTGTTCTTTCTAATTGTTTAGAATGAAGTTGATATTATGAAGTGGAGAGTGAAGAAAATTAGTTGACGAGGAAGAAGCTTTCAATTAATCTTATTGTTTATAGATGTTTATCTTTAATTTTGAACAATTTGTATTGATTATTTGCGGTTTGCTTGTATGCTCTAGATTGGTGTTTTTTGTATGATTAGTTTGCATGAGAAAATTGATGTTAAACTTTTATTTTGAAAAAAACTTGTTATTGTAAATTTTTTACCACGAAAACCCACGGGTACCCATGAACCCGCGGATACCCAGCGGGTTGGGTTGGGTTTGAGTTTTTCAAACCCAACGGGTTTTACCCCGGGTTTTTTTGGCGGATAAACCCATGGGTTTGGGTTTGACAAAACCCGCCCCAACCCGACCCATTACCATCCCTACTCATATCAAATAGGAAGTATCTGTTTTTCCTTGGCAAAAGATAAAGTTGCTTGCTTTTGGAGATCTTTAACTATTATATGTTCTTTTTTATGTCTTCCTTTTGGTGTTGCACTCAGCTAATATGAGAATCACTTTTTTTTTCTGGCATAACAAAAACGTAATTGATAAGATGCTAGTAGAAAAACTAGAGTTTGGTTGGATTGAAACAAACAACAAATATCAGCTACATTCTATAGAGAGTGTATATACTACAACTTAATTACACAAGTGAATAAACAATGGAATTATTTTTTTTTTTGCATATAGGGAGGCCAAAACAGGCCGCAGAACAAGAAAAGCAACTCGAGGTTATAGGTGGGGTGAAGTAGGGGGAGGGACAATGCGTCTAGAGAAGGTGACGCCTCTGATGTCGTCCTGGAGGAACGGGAGGAGATCATTTGGAGGTGTTTCTAATTCATGTATCCCGTAGGGATAGACGAGACTGTGCTTCGAGAGCCAGTCCGCGACTCTATTCCCTTCTCGGTACACATGAACTAAATTCACAATCCAGTCTTGAGCAATCTGACGTCTGATGGCCGTTAAAAGGGTTGCATAAGGATGTAAAGGGTCTGACCTATTCTTCACAAGTTGGATTGCTAATTGGGAATCCGTCTCCACGATGAGAGTTCTGCATCCGCACTTCCATGCCAACTTAAGACAATGATAAATAGCCCATAACTCCGAACAAATGGCTGTACCGGAGCCCAAACCAGCCACAAAGCCACTGATCCAGTTGCTGTCGGCGTCCCTCAAGGTTCCCCCTGCTCCTGCAACCCCTTGACTAGCCCCCGCAGCCCCGTCCACATTCAACTTACACCAACCAGGCGGGGGAGGTTGCCAACCAATCTGAACTGTCATGCGATTCTGGGCGGAGCTCGCTCGCCCCACCAGAGGACTCGGAGCGTTCCAAGCTTTCCACCACAGGGCAGCTCGGATCTTCACAGCCTGCAACAAAGAAGGAGCGGACAGTGTCTTACCCATCCCATGGAAAACTCCATCATTGCGATTCTTCCACATGCTCCAGAGGGCAATGCAAAAGAATACGTCCCAAGGGAGGCCGGAGGGAGCTGTATCCTCACAGTAGAGGTTAGCTTCCAGCCAGTTGTCCCACTGACAGGTGAAGAAGTTCTGAAGCTTCTCTGGCTGAACCGACCGATTCCAAAAATAGGCTGCCGGGGGGCAGTCCCTGAACAAATGCAGAAGCGTCTCCGTATTAGTAGGGCATCTAAAGCAGGAGGGGTCTTGAGTGAGGTGTCGTTTGGCTCTCTCCTCGTTAGAACTGATCTTCCCCTGTGCCACCAACCAAACAAAGCAGCGAACCCGCTCCGGCACTGGGAGGCGCCAAATTCTCTTCTAAAATTGGTGGTTCTCATCATTGATAGGGTCTTGGAGCAACTGGTAGGCACTCTTGGTAGAAAAACGACCATTCGGCGTCGGCTGCAAAAGGAGAGTGTCTTCTTCGGTCGAGAGAGGATCTACTGCCCGAGTGGTTATTTTTCGAACTATGTCCACGGGGAGAATGTGCTCGAACTCCTCCGTCTTCCAATTCCCGTCTTCATCCACAAATTCCTCCACCAACAGGTCTTGATCTGCTTCAGGAATTTGATCCGTCACCAGCTCTTGGAGAGGTACCTGCGATAGCCATATATCATACCAAAACTTAGTTCGGTTACCCCTATGAATATTCCAGGCGCATCCCTTCCTAAGAAGGTTCCCCGCCTTCGCAAAGCTAGACCAGGTAAAGGAACTTCCCTGAACAGGCCTCAGAAGATCGAGATGCGTTTGGCCCTTCCCGTACTTTGACAGAACTAGCTGAGTCCATAGAGTCTCCTTCTCCTTGATGATGCGCCACCCACCTTTAGCCAACATAGCTAGATTGACTTCTCTAGTCGATCTGATCCCTAGCCCCCCACTCTGTTTTGGTAACAGCAAGCGTTCCCAGGGTACCAGGTGGAGCTTTTTCTTCTCCTCGGTATCTCCCCATATGAAGCTCCTATTGATCCGATCCAGAGACCTGCAAACATTCATAGGGAGCATTTCTGTTTGCATAGGATAAATCGGAATAGAGGCTGAAATGGACTTAACTACAGTGATCCGGGCGGCGAGCGAAAGATGTTTGGTCTTCCAAGGGGCTAGCTTCCGTTGGATCCGCAGCATAAGGTCCTGGTATCTGGTTCTGGTGACTCGACCATGGATCGCCATCACACCAAGGTAGCGCCCCAGGTCCACAGTGAGGGGGATGCCTGCCCGCTGAGACAATCTTCTCGCTCTCCTCCTGTCAATGTTAGCCGAAACAAAAATTGCCGATTTCTCATAGTTAACTCGCTGCCCGGAGCTATGGCAGAACTCATCCTGACATCTTTTGATTATCCGCACCTGAGCCCCATCTGCTTCTGCAAAAAGAATAAGATCGTCTGCAAAAAACAGGTGAGAAATCAAGGGGCCTCCTCTAGAAAGGCTCAACGGTTTCCAATTTTTTTCCTGGATAGCTTGATCAATTCTGTGAGAGAGCCTTTCCATGCACAAGACGAAAAGATAAGGGGAGAGAGGGTCTCCCTGGCGGACTCCCCTGGTAGGGGTGATCGGATCAGAAAGTTCCCCATTCCAAAGCAGACGCATTTTGTTACTCTCTACACAAAACATGATGCAATTGATCCACAAGCTAGGCAAACCCACTTCCTTCAAAGTATCCCGGAGAAAGTCCCATCTTAGCCTATCATAGGCTTTTTCGAGGTCGATCTTAAGCACAATCCCTCCTCTCTTGCCTTTCTTCTTCCTAAGAGAGTGAAGAACCTCCTGCAACACAATAATATTATCAGTGGTTTGTCTTCCTGGGATAAAGCTGCTCTGACGGGGCGCTACAATCTTTCTCATAATCGGCTTCAGTCGGTTGGTGATAGCCTTCGTGATAGCTTTAAGGCACACGTTGTTCAGAGATATCGGTCGGAGTTGTGAGACCCTTTCAGGATGATCCACTTTGGGGATGAGCACCACCGTCGACTCAACCACCTTCTCCGGCAGAATTCCTGTCGAGAAAAAACTAACAGCCATATCAATAAGAGCTTTCCCGACGGTTTGCCAAGATTTTTGGTAGAAGATGGCCTGGAATCCATCAGGTCCCGGCGCCTGAAACGGCTTCATGTCCTGGACTGCTCCATGAATATCCTCCCCAATAAAGGGTCGAAGTAAAAGGATGAGATCCTCGTGGTCAATCCTCGGGAAAGCTTTCTTCGGCATTTCGTCGGTGTACTCCTGGCTATCCTGCAAATACAGAGAAGAGAAAAAATCAAAGACTAAACTCGCAAGATCATGGGGATCAGAAATCCACTTTCCATTGCTTTCTTTGAGACTCTCAATCTTATTCCTGCGCCGACGAATATTAGCCTGTTGGTGGAAATAGGCCGTGTTGCGCTCTCCAAACTGGACCCATTTCTCTCTGGCTCGCTGGAACCAGAGAATCTCTTCCTGCTCCAAGACTTCATCAAGCTCCTTCTCGAGTTTAGTTTGAAGCTTGAAAAGTCCTGGCGAGAAATTGTGAGCCACCTTAGCTTGATTCCTTGAATACGGCTCATCAATCTTCTCTTTCTGCGATAAATATTCCCGAACGTTGACTGGTTCCATTGAGACAGTTTAGTGGCCATGTCTTGGAGAGCCTCCTGCAGAGGTGCCTGAGAGTCCCAATTGTTAGACAGAAAGGTATCATAAGACTCATGAGTTAACCAAGCTCCCTCAAATTTAAAGGGTCGAGAAAAGGAAGAAAGGTGAACTCCCTGGTTTCCAAGAGACGTCAGGATCGGATGGTGGTCAGAATGCAGCCGGGGGAGGTGAGTGACCGTGGAGCTTGAGAAAACTGAGTTCCAAGTTGCATTGAAGAGGCTCCGGTCAATCCGACTCGCCTTGTAGGAGCTGGGATTGTCCCCCCTGGTCCAAGTGAAACGAGATCCGGAGAAACCCAGGTCAATGAGTTCGGCCTGGCTAATCCTGTCGCTGAAACGCTTACAACGCCGGTAGATGGAAGGAGTGGCCGGCCCTGCCTGTTCTGCTGGGTCCTTGATCGCGTTGAAATCTCCGGTTAAGAGCCAGGGGAGCTCCATCTCATCGCGGAGCCGAAATATAGCTTGCCAGAGATGATGTTGCAAGCTTTACCTGGGACTTGCATAAATGGCCGTCAAGCACCAAGCCTGAGCTGCGGGCGGCGAGATTTTCACAGTAAGGTGCTGAAAACAAGCCGAAAGCACTTCTACCTTGAAACACTGAGCATTCCAGCAGAGCCAAATTCCCCCTTTCCTTCCCTCACCCTCGACTCGCAAGACATTTGGAAAACCCAACTTTCCACAGATCCGATCCGCCACCTCCCCACTAATTTGAGGTTCCAACAGGATCAAGAACTCAGGCTTGTGATGGTGCACGATCAGCTTCAGAGCTCGGGAGAAGGCAGCATTGCCCGCCCCTCCTACATTCCAAGACAAGATTTTAGTGTTAAAATTGTTTAAAACAGACATGATAAGGTATAAATAAGACGGGAAAAGGAGAAGGTAAGGAGACGAAAAACAGAAAGGAAAATTCGAAAGGTAGAGGCGCTCAATCATGCTGAGCCAGCAGTCTCCAAAGTCGGGATCATCTTCTCGTTATGCTCCACTTCCAGGGCTTGGGATGAACTTGTCTCCGCTGCAGCCGCCTGTGCCGCCCCCGTCCACGCCTCAATCTCCTGCAGGGTAAGTGAAGTCAATCGTGCTCTAGTCTTGTTCTTCTTTTCCTTAACCGGAGTCCAGACTTGGAGGGCTTTGGTCGTGATTGGCACCGATGTCTTCCTAGGCGACTTCGATTTCTTTTTCTTCTGCCCGTTCTGATTTTTGGTCCGAACCGCCGCCGACGGGGAGTCTTTCACCCGCTCTGCTGCTTGTTGTGTCTCATAAGGAGGGACTGCCACTATCTGGATGGAGGTGTCGTTGGGGCCCTTGACTGTCCGAGTAGATGGTGGGCTGGAGCAAGTCAGCCCAGATCCCTTTCACGGGCCTGCTTCCTCAGTTGGCAGCCGAGGCCCATTCGCTTTGTCTAGGCTCGTTGAGCCTCTCTCCCGTTGCCTCCTCGCGTCTAAATTGGCCTTGCTGGTGCCCGAGTTCGCATTTTTTTTGGGCCGAGGGAATTGGGCCCAAGACTCCTTTTCCACCTGTCACCCCTTCCACAATGGTTTTATTCGCTTTTTCTTTCCCCTTTTGTTGCAACCCATCAGTGGAGTTTCCTTTCTCCCCCCTACCTTGTTGGAGATTTCCAGTCCGCTGGCCTTGATTCTCTCTGAATCCCCCCTTGCTTCCAGAACTACTTTCTATATTTTTGTGGTTGCCCTTTCCCTTCTCAGTATTTCCACCAACCACCAGATCTCCTTGATTGCCGTCGGAGTTTCCTTTCTCATGCCCCCGCGTACCCCGCCGTGATCGTCGTGTGACCTGCATCCACGACCCAAACCCAGCCTTCTCCTCCGGCGACTCTTCCGAGCATTTTTCCGGCGAGCCCGCAGCCGTTCCGATCCCGATCGAAACTGCCGATTCGCACAGTGAAGGGCAGGTCGCTGTAGTGTGCCCAACCTTTCCGCACTCGAAACACACCTTTGGCAAATTTTCATACTCTATGTACTGCCATTTTCCATCAAGCCGAATACGGGATATTAGTGGTTTAGATAGGTCGAGTTCGACAGCCATCCGAGCAAATTTTACGTGTTTTTGATGTTGTGTGTGAAAGTCCAACTTGATTGCTCGCCCGATCATGTTCTCCAAAGAGAAAAGGATCTCTTGATGGTAAAAATGGACCGGGAAGGCTGGCAATTGGACCCAGGCCACCATCGTTTTCGGCAGCTCATCCGACAGACGAAAGGACGGCGTCCATTGGAAGACTATACAGTAATGATAAAAAATGGTCCAGGGTCCCTCCGTTAAAGCTCGAAAGTAATCCGCATCGTTGTCGAGTTTCACGAGGAAGCACTCTTGCCCCAGTGCCATGATATCGATTGCTCCGGTTGGGCGCCACAGAGCCTTGATTCTATTGCTGAACGTAAGGAAGGAGATGCTCAAGCCCATAGTACGCACCACAAGAGTTCGCTTCCGTTGTGTACATAGCTTTTCCTTGAAAGCAGTAGATACCTTCAACTCTGGCTCTCCGTTGAACTTCCCTGGTATCAAATCATGTTCTCCCACGGGCGTCCAAGAGCTTTTTGGTTTGTTGTTCTCCAGATTCTGACCTGCCACGATCTTCGCATAGGAAACAGCCGGTGCCGCAAGCGGAAGAGGAGTGGTGACTCCCTGCGACAGTGGCGGAGGTTGTAAATCTATCATCATGGCCGCCTCGTCCGAAAGTGCAGTTGGGGCCGCTGCTTCCGCGACACCACCTTGCGCCGGCGTGGTCTGAGCTTTATCCGGGGGCCTCCCCGAGAGGTTGAGGTTGGCCGCCGTTGATTCTTCCGAAGGATTCATTTCAGAGCGTTTGTATCCAAACAATGGAATTATTAAACACACTAATTAATGGCTTTCTTCTCCTCATTCCTTTCATCTTCACCTTCACCTTCACCTTCATCCCACCCACTCTGGTCCGACAGCCTGCTAAGTATCTCTCTCAGCCTGAAGGAAGGAAGGAAGAAAGAAGAAAAAGATCCCTCGGTCAGTCTATACCTGTTCTCTACTTTGACAAGTGTTCATCATAAAACCCTAAACTTGACTACCTAACTATTCAAACCCTAATTAAATTAACCAAAATTGAATTCAAGGGAGAAATCCTAATACCTCCGTCTTCTTCTGCTTTTGAGCCGATTACCTGTACTCCAGATCCTTGCGAAGGTTTTCGACCAATAGGTAATTAGCATCGGCAGCCCAATCACTCAACTTTATGGTGATCGCAATCAGGTCACTCAATTTTCAAACTTTTTGATAAGTTTGTTACTGAAAACTTCAAAGTAATTACTTTCTAGACTTCTAATAATTTTCGTCTAGTTTGTTATTTAATTTATTCATATATCAGTATCATCTCACATTTAAATTAATGACCATGGTAACAATTCTATTCATATTCGTTTGAGTTTTTTTTTTGTTCTAGTAAATATAGATGAGTGTCATTTACCAAGTTACCAACCTCTAATTAGCTACAGAAAAGATTAAAGATGAAGAGGCAAGGATGGTTTTTTTTTTGGTAGAACAACGATGGTTTTCTAATTATATGGAATGAAGAATGAGTTTGAATTTTTTTAATATCACAGTTAGATATAGTAAATAGATAGCTGATTACAAATTATTAATAATTCAAACGTGGTAATTAACTGAATGTTGAACTATCGATAAAAGGGCCGTTTTGGCGACTAAATAAACAACTCTATTAAAAAGAAAGTAGCGTAAACAAAAAAGAGCTCCCGAGTAGTTTGAACAATGAGTTTGATTTGATTATAACTAAAGCAACCCAAATTAATTTTGATGAACACCCGACTCATTGGAACAATTTAACGACGTAAGTACTAAGATGGAAATATTCATAATTTTAGTTGTAAATTTTGTGCTTTTACAGTATTGGTAATTTTGTTAAAAATAAGAATTGACTGACTCCAAAATTCAATGACCACTTTGGTAATTGACCTGAAGAAAATCGCAATTAAAAACAAATCCGATTAGGATAAGCTCTTTGCTTCGCGAGTCGTAATCGTAACGATTAACGATCCCCATCTGCCACGTGTCCATCGCTTGCATAAATTTCTCTCGCTTGTTCCCTCCGTCCCCAAATTCACTCGTAAATTTCTCTCCGACTCCTTTTCCTGATGACAACCGCCGCCGTACCCTAACCCTAATTTTCCATCACTCGGCCAGTTTTCATGGCCAGCCCTACCCCTCTCACCTTCTCCGCCTGCTCTTCCGCTTCCTCCTCCTCAGCCACCCTCTACTCCATCCCTCCTGACACTGATTGCGTCTCCGACGGTTCTTTCTCCTCCGCTGCCGCCGGTTTCGCCCCACCCGTCGAAGACGCCGCCCCCACCGCCGAGGTCCCTTCCGTCTACCACCTCTCCTTCAACCAGGACTGCGGATGCTTCGTCGCCGGTCTCGACAACGGGTTCCGGATCTACAACACCGACCCGTTCAAGGCCCTGTTCCGCCGCGACATGGATTCTTCTTCCCCTTCCTCCTCCTCCTCACGCGGCGGAATCGGACTCGTCGCCATGCTCTTCCGATGCAACGTGCTCTGCTTCGTCGGCGGTGGCCCCGAGCCTCTCTATCCGGCGAATAAGGTCATGATCTGGGACGACCACCTCTCGCGCTGCTTCGGCGAGCTATCTTTCCGTTCCGAAGTGAGGAACGTGAAAATTCGTCGCGATAAGATCATCGTCGTGCTGGCTCAGAAGGTTTTCGTCTACAATTTTGTGGATTTGAGGCTGGTTCATCAGATTGAGACGGCGTTGAACAGTAAGGGGCTTTGTGAGGTTTCGCATACTTCGTCGCCGATGCTCCTGGCGTGCCCTGGCTTGCAGAAGGGGCAGATTAGGATAGAGAATTATGGTTCGAAGAAGACGAAATTCGTGATGGCTCATGATTCGAGGCTCGCTTGTATGAGCATGACTCAAGATGGGAGGTTGCTTGCTACTGCCAGCAGTAAAGGCACTTTGGTCCGAGTTTTCAATGCCTTAGATGGTTCCTTGCTTCAGGAGGTATAAAAGCTCAAACCTTTTTGTTATTGGAAGTACTGTAGTGAGTACGAAACATGAACCCAGGATTCATCTCGGTTTAGTGGATGGTTTGAACTGGTTGGGTAGCTGGATTTGTCTGTACTGTTGTCATTGAATCTCTGATACGTCGTGACTGATATTTATCAATATTGATGCAAGCAATGCCATGAGAAACTTGGATTTAAGTCGGTGCGCAGTGGATGTTTTAGCATAAGCCTTCAACTGGATGTGAATCCATTGGTTAAGATATTTGCTGAATTTTAGATATGCATTACTAATTTCGATGGTTTATTAGTATATCATAGGCATTCAGGTAGAGTTCTTAGATTCTTATGGTGTCTGAACTTGATACCGAGGCAAGCGTACTTGTGAGTGGGTGGTATAGTCCTGCGTTTTCACCCTACTGATACAAACCATGCAGCAAAAACCAGGATTGAAATCAAGTTCCCGATGAATGTGTAATGTGTTTAGCATATGCTTTGAACTGGTTAATCAATATGGATGAGTGTTGGTGAATGTTAGATATGTCATGGCCGATTTTATCAGTTCTATTGTTCTGGTATTTGGGAACGTAGTAATGGGGTTAAGCTTGCTTTCAATTGATGGTATAGTCCTGCTTTCTAAGTTATGGAAGTTTTGGTTATGGCCTTGGTTGGTGTGGACATAGATGAATTTTAGATATGCCATGGCTGATTTTCATTCTCAGGTCAAGTTCTTCTGGTGTTTATAACTTAATACTGGCATAAAACATTGCTTGTGAAACGGTGGTATAGTCCTGCTTTTTCCTAAGCTTAGACGTTGGTTCTGTCTTGTATTAATGGGAGCTGTTGCTGAATTCCCAGGTTAGGCGAGGTGCAGACAGAGCAGAAATCTACAGCCTTGCATTCTCCTCGGATGCTCATTGGCTAGCAGTCTCTAGTGACAAGGGAACCATCCATGTCTTCAGCCTCAAAGTGGATTCAGGGTCATTGGCAACACTATCAAATGATAGATCACAGGTGGTGTCTGCTCCAAATCCTTCCAATGGTTTGGGCATTTCATCCCTTTCCATCCTGAAAGGTAAAAACACACTCCTTGTTATGTGGATGAAAAGTGTCAAACTTAATGAATTTATATCCAATTTGGGTTCAGATGCTTCAATTACATACATGGTCATGAACTTTGGGTCACTTCAAATCAGTACACAACTTTTAGTTCAGTATATTTAACATAGCTGTCACAAAGTTCATCTTCTTTCCAAGCTGTCCATGTTATTATGTCAAACTCACCCGAATTATTAAATGAAATAGAAGGGTATTAGATAATCTAATTAGCTACAGGAAGAAATGGATTAGGGTGGTTCCAGGTAATGTGGATAGTAATTGGGTTGAGTGATGAGATTGGTTGAATCAGACATCGTTTAAAAGAGTTGTCAATGCTAGCTAATTAGGGTTTTTATCATCAAATTGGCTAGGTTAGTATGTTAATTGGGACTGAAATCAGATCAGGATGGGCAATGATAGTATTATGGCGGTTATTCCAAATTGATATACCGTGTTAGCCATTCCAAAGATTAGTGACCGGTTTGCTTATGTTGAAGTGATTAAAGAAATGATTCTCCACATCTAACTTCTAACGCTTTAGGCTTATGGAAGTTGTTCATCTAAATCATTCTCTCAATGTTCAACATATAACCGTATCGCTTTATAATCTTCAGGGGTGTTGCCAAAGTATTTCAGCTCAGAGTGGTCTGTGGCTCAGTTCCGATTGCCAGAAGGCTCCGAGTACCTTGTTGGTTTTGGCCAGCAAAAGAACACAGTTATCATCATCGGACTGAATGGAAGGTAAGCACTAGTCACCACTCACCATAGCCTAGGTCTTTCTGCTTATTAGCCACTATAAGCAGAACAGCCCTTTCAAAGAACTCAGATTGTGCATTGAGTTTTAATGTTGATAGATTTCTTTTGGTTGCAGCTTCTACAGATGTGAGTTTGATCCTGTGAAAGGGGGAGAGATGACGCAGTTGGAACACCATAATTATCTTAGTGCCGACAATTTCCTGAAGCCAGGTGAAACTTTCACCAAGACATTGTAATTATGAAGCGAAAAATAAGCTGTGCTCAAAATTTTGGCCATCTCTCTTTGTGTATTTTACTGTTAGTATACTTCTTATTCATGCCTGTCATTCTAGTTCTCTCGAAAGGTGAAAAGAGGAATAAGTTGTCACTTGTAAATAGTGGAATGAAAGTTAATTGATGATTGGAATCACCAGTGGGGTAAATTTGCGACCTTTTTGGTACGTGCATAGAGATTTTGACAGTATTGAAGAGGTTCACTGGTAACTGGGCAGCAAATTAAGGAGTCGTCTTTTGGTTAGAAAGGGCAATCTTGACCTGATCCACGCCTAGGAAAGCTCGTCGTCGTTTTAGGTGGCAGAGTATTTGATCCTTGAGCAGTGTAGGAAAGGGTACCGAGTCTTTGGATTTTAGGGTTGTGGTGATGGATGATGGTAAGCATAATCCACCAAGGAGAGACTTGTCTTGAATCTATATAGTTTGGCAAGAAAATGGAAAAAACAATGGCTTCTTTCTAACACTTATAGCAGAAAGGAAATCATTTTCTGCTACTGACTATTATGTTTCTCGCACCGATTACGTTCCTCCATCACCCGCGAAAAAGAGCCTCGTCAAGCATACAATGTCAATGCACGAAGAACCACTATATTGATTTTTCCATTACGATCGAACTCAGCAAGGAAAGGGGGTTATTTTTCCATTATGAACTTTTGGTCAGAAAACTACAAACTAAAATCCAGTGAAGAGAAGGACAATCAACAGGGACCTTTCTCTAAGCACTAAAAAACTACTACTGCCATGGCTGACATTTGACAACTACAAATCATATTCAATTACACGGAAACGAATCTAATGGAGTCTAGCCTCTGTGGATTCATTCAGGTTGAGGCGCCCTTCTTCTTTGGGGAATTGGGTTCCGATGCAGACGATGTTTCAGAGATCTTCTTCTTGGGCAAGAGCACTGGGTTGATATTGGGCAGAACACCTCCACTAGCAATGGTGACTCCCTGCAGCAGCTTCCCCAGCTCCTCGTCGTTCCTCACCGCCAAAAGAAGGTGCCTCGGGTTTATCCTGTTCTTCTTGTTGTCCATCGCCGCATTCCCAGCTAGTTCCAGCACCTGTTGAAAATCAAGGAAAACCAATTCAATCCCCCCTGTTTGTTTCTCGAGAAAATTGGGGAGACGAAAATTTGCCGAGAGAACCATTGTGGAAATGGATCAAAACGTTTCGATTTCTTCATAACCAATCTGAATCTCGTCGTCGTGCAGGAAAATGGGATAAGAAAATTGAACGGAAAGCAAGAGAATCGGATCTGAGGAAAATTTTCTGTTCGCGGATTTTTTTTAGTTACCTCGGCGGCGAGATACTCGAGAACAGCAGCAAGGTAGATCGGAGCTCCGGCTCCGTACCTCTGAGCGTACCGGCCTTTCTTCAAGAACCGGAAAACACGGCCGACGGGGAACTGGAGCCCGGCCCTCGCCGACTTGGAAACCGCCTTCTTCCGATCGCCTCCGCGTCTCCCGCCGGCGCCCTTCGGTGTCGCCGCCGTAGTTCCCGACTTCGCCACGGAATCCATAGAAGAAGAATCAACGCAACCGAATTTGACAATGGTGTGAAATTCGAGACGGAAATCGGAGAAAGGAAATTTGGACAGCAGAGGATCTCCGTGAAAATGGCTGCCGAATCGGTTTTGGGATGCCACGATTCAAGACTTCTAAATGCAGCAAATTAGGTAAAATATTTCGGATACCACTTGAATTTAAGAATTGGAATAAACATACTATTTAAATTTGAAAAGTCGTTAAAATATGCAATTTTTTAGTTTTTCATCTAGGGTTAATATTTTCGTATGGCCTGAACTTTGACTAAAATAAACATTCTGGCCAATCTTTTCGATCTATAACATCCTGGCCCGAACTATACACCAAAATAAACAATTTGGCCAGATCCGACTTTTGACCGTTAACTTGGAGGGTCAAACGCGTTGACCGTTAGTCAACGCGCCATGTCACTGCCAAGTCAGCATAAAATATTTAAAATAATTCACAATTTCCACACATTCCCTAATTTTAAATTATTATAAATTAAAAAAATCATCTAATACCTTTTTTTTTTATAAGGGTGAAAAATGCATTAAAGAAAAGCAAGGAAACCAGTCCGAAGTACAAGGGGAAAGGAGGAAGGAGCGGCACCAGAGGTGCAGCAACCCAAGCGGAACAAAAGCGAAAAAAACAAAAGAAAGACAAAAGAACAAGGAAATCGCAAGCCCTCAACGCCAAGCAAACAGTCCGAACCGAAGCGAGAACCCCCGAAAGCCCACAACCAGCAACAAACAAAGAGAAAGGAAGGGCCGAGACGCGTCAATAGCCAGGCGGCATCAATCGCCCCGAACCAGAACCCGATCACCCGAAGCATCCTCCAAACCCAGCACTTGAAAAGGAGCAAGCAGGCAGGCGGGAAACAGGCTGCAAGCAAAGGCACTACACAGAACACACAGAAAACCTCCCCTGGATCAATTCTGGCTAGAAGGGCGAAGCCACTCCACCCCCTGATTCCTACTGATCTTGCCTTTCGCAACTAACCAATCCACCGTGGATCTGATTGCAATCCAAGAGACCTCCTTGGCTCCTTTGCTAGCATCTTGGAACACGCGCTTATTCCTCTCGAGCCAAATTTGCCAGCACACAGCGTGAAGAATGCAGAACCCGATCCAATCCGTCAGATTGTCCGGAATATCAGTCTTCCAACATTGAATGGTGTCGAGGATTTGCTCTTGAGGAGCAAAAGATCCACCACACACTCTCCTAACTTCATTCCAGACCTCCATCCCGAACTCACAGCATGTGAACAAGTGATCGACCGACTCTTCTTCCCTACAACACAGGCAGCATCTGTTAGCAATGGAGCAGCCCCTCTTTTGGATATTGTCAAGCGTCAAGATCCGCTTGTGAGCGACCAGCCACATGAAAGCGTTGATCTTTGAAGGGATGCACTTCCTCCAAACGGAGTCGCTAGGGAAGTTGGACACCCCTGGGAATCGCCCATCCGTCAATATCCTGTACATGGAACGCACTGAAAAACTCGAATCGGGGTCAGAAAACCACACCAATCTGTTTGGACCGCACACGACCCTGAACTTATCAATATCATTCAAGAAATCGAAGAATCTCTCTCTTTCCCTCTCAGCCCCTCCCCTCAAATTTAAAGAAAAATCAATATTCCAATAATATTCCAATCTAAACCCTCACCTGTTCGGATTATGACATCAGATAGCCAGGCCTCGGGTTTAGCAGCAGCGGCGGCAACTCTCGGGAAGGAATGCGCTAGAATCGTCTGAGGAACCCAGCAGTCGTTCCAAAAGGATACACCAGCACCACCACCCGGATCAATTACTGCCACTTTCCACAACTCGCCATATTCTCTGGAAATGTTAGCCCACACAGAGCTTCCGAACCCCTTCCTGCATTGCTTGCTTTGCCACTGAGAATTGCTTGCCTTATATTTGATCTCGATGAGTTGTCTCCACCAACTCCCTCTCTCCAAAGCATATTTCCAAAGCCATTTAGACAGCATGGCTTTGTTACAGCAGGCCATGTCCCTAACGCCCAAGCCCCCGTTCTCTTTACTTGCTTTACATAACTCCCACCTAACGAGCGGAGTCTTGTGATTGTCCCCTGCACCGCTCCACAAGAATCTTCTTTGGATTGCCTCGATCCTGTTCAGCACACTGGTGGGGGCACACAGTAAGGAGAAGAAATACACCGGCTGCCAGAAAGAGTACTGTGATTAAGCACCAAGCGACCTCCGAAAGACAGAAATCTACTCTTCCATCCATCTAACCGTTGTTCGAACTTTCTGACAATTGGATCCCAAGTGGAGATGGCATTAACCTTGGCTCCAAGGGGGAAGCCAAGATACTTCGACGGTTCGCTGCTCCAATTGCACCCAAAAATGGCAGCAAAAAACTCCGGAATCGCTACATCCCCGACTGTAATCATGACCGATTTCTCAAGGTTTATTCTCAAACCCGTAACACTTTTAAAACACACTAAAGTAGCGAGAATATTCGACACTTGGTCGTACGCAGCGTCACAAAAGATCAGTGTGTCGTCGGCAAACAGAAGATGAGTGACTTCGCCGTTACCATTCACTTCGTCCATGCAAAAACCTTTAATCTTCCCCTCAACCTGTAATTTGTTCAACATGTAGGAAAGGATATCCATGATGAGAGTGAATGATCCGGGCGAAAGCGAGTCGCCCTGACGCAACCCCTTCTGCGGTTTGAAATACCCTTTCGATTCACCGTTGATCAAAGTAGAAATAACCGGAGAACACATAGTACCTTTAATCCATTTATTCCACTGCGCCGGGAACCCGAGAGAAGACATAGCCTTGAACAGACAGTCCCAACTCACGTTGTCGAACGCATTCTCGATATCAAGCTTAAACATAAGTCCCGGTTTGCGACTCTTTCTGCGGCTGTCCAACAATTCGAAAGCGATGAGACCAGCCTCTGAAATCTGCCTCCCCTTAACCGAAGCATGCTGATTCTGAGACACGATCTTGGGAAGAACCTTGCTAAGTCGGCGGGCAAGCAACTTGCTAATGATTTTGTTCAGACTACCCATAAGGCTAATAGGACGAAGGTCCTTGATGTCCTCCACAGCATCACGCTTCGGGAGGAGGCAAAGAAAAGAGTGCGTAGCACACTCAGGGAGAAAACCCGTATTATAGAATTCAGATATGGCGTTCAAGAACTCCTCCCGAATGAGAAACCAAGCCTTTTTATAGAACTCCCAGGAGAACCCATCCGGCCCTGGGGCTTTCCCCCCATCGCAGTCCGCCAAGCTGGCCCAAACCTCCTGCTCCGAAAAAGTACTGGTCAGGAAGGCAATATCAGCTTCATCGATCCTCCTATCAGTATGCGACCTTGGGAAGGGGCGCCTCGAAAAGGGGTCTTTGAACAAATTCTGATAATACTCCACTATGCCTCTGCCGAGAAGATCCCTCCCTTCATGCCTCACTCTATTAATGTTGATGCAATCGATCAGATTAAGCTTTCTTTTATAATGATAATTGATTCAAGATTTCCTATTCATAAACTGGTTCAATATCAGAGTCTTCAAAAGATGATTCCAACTAAACATAATTCATATGAAATATTTGCTTTAGAGAATAATTCAACTATTAGAACACATAATGATAATTGAAAATACTTATAATGATAATTGATTCTAAATTTTCTATTCATAAATTGGTTTGGTATCAAGTCTTCAAAAGAGGATTCCAACTAAACAATAAAAAAATGATGTTTTTTATAATATGAAAAGTAGTATGACCAATTATAAAATTTAGAATATTCCAAGAATATTCTGTCAACTTTAGCGGAATGCATTTAACAATAAACTTATGTGGTACCAGGTGCACATTTAATAGAGTTCAGTGGTACGCGAACGCGATGCCCTATTTTTAACTAGGTATAATAACTCCCCCAATTCTCATACTTTAGTGCTATCCGATGTATTTTACCCCAACAACTGAGACACGTGGACAGTAGTAAATTTTTGTTTTAGTACGTGAGAGTTGAGACTTTATATGGGTCCAGGTCCGTTGCTTATAGGTCCGCTCATATGCACGGCTATTATCTTCGTGTCCGAGCTAGACTTACTTAATAAATTTTGACTCCTATTTAATACATTTATTTTGTATATTATGAATAATACATGTGATTGATGTCATTATGAAAAAATAATAATAGTAAAAAAATCAACTTTAACTTATATTATTTAGGAGAGAAATACCCCGCATCTGCATGCCACTAAACTTTCAGAATTGTGGGCGTATACAACTAAAGTAAAAATAGGGCATTGAATGCCATGTAAGTCCGAAATTAGGGATGACAACAGGGCGGATCGGGGGCGGGTACATGCCTCCCGATCCCCGCCCATACACCTCGACGGATTTCCCCATCTCCGTCCCCGGCGACTAAACGGGGGGAGATTGGCTACCGTCCCCATCCGCCGACGGATTCGGGTAACCAACGGATCCCCACGGATCATGGTCTAAACAAAAACCAAACACTTCCTGAATAATACACTTGCATTAAAATAGTAACTTGATGGTCAAGCCACCGAAATAGAAAACAAAACAAAGAAAGATCTGGGGCTGTAACCCATATCCCACCACCCAGCACCCAGATCCTAAAATTCAAACAAACAAACAGGCTGCAGCAAACAAACAAACTGCTGCAACCTTAATCCCACCACCCAAAACCCATCAATCATGTTCATCATGCTAGTACTAGTGTTCAAACTTAAAAAAAACATAAAATGAAAAACAAAGGCATTCAGCCTAATCGTTCAGAAATGATAAAATGAAAAACAAAGGCATCCACGCTGGAGACCAACTTTCCTCGACCTCAACTGATTTGAACAACATTCCTCCTTTGTCACAAGTTCCATTTGTTCTGTAAGAAAGAAAACAAGTGTTAGAGAATTGAAACTATCAATAAAACTCATCAATCATAAGTATTGTGCTACTGATCACTAGTACTTTACCTTTGCACTGGTTTTTCTCAAACAGTCAAACTATCAATCATCTAGGGATAGTGGACCACGGTTCATATTGCCAAGTTCCTCTTGTTCTGCAAGTAAGGAAACAAAGGTGTTAAGAGAATTGAACTGAGATTAAAAAGGAAACGAGTTGAAGAAACAAGTAACTTACCCTCTGTTTGATCTTCAGCACTTGTATCTGCAAGTGCTAGAGCTGAAAAACAATCCTTCCATTGCCTCAACATCAGCCTTTGACTCTGCAAAAAATGAAACAAAGGAAAATAGTTAGAACAATGAACACTCTAATAAACTAGAAAGTTCAGTTGGTGCATATTACCTTGTTGCATTGAATCAATGATCCAATTACGAGTACACATCATTGCCTCCACTGTATTGTAGTGAAGCCTACTCCGGTGAAGGTCTAATAACCTCCCACCAGAGCTGAAAGCAGATTCAGAAGCCACTGAAGTGACTGGAATGGCCAGCAAATCCCTTGCAATTGCTTGCAAAGTGGGGTACTTAAGGCCATTAAGTTTCCACCACATCAATATATCAAAGTCCTTAGATCGTTTGGGAATAAGATCCTCAAGAAGATAGTGATCGAGCTCAGTATGAATCAGAGTAGTTTTGCTCTTTTTCCTTTGACTCACAAAGAGCTCGAAATCAAGATCATCACTTACAGAACTAGAAGAACCACCAGAAGCACATGAAGAACCAGAATTCTTCTTCTTAGCCTTGGTTTGGTAGTCAAGAACCAAACCACAAATACATTCCCTTATCTTATCAGCCACCAATGCAGTATTAGTGCTGCCAAACTTGCCAGCATAATACTCAACTACATGCATCTTGTATCTAGGATCAAGAACCACTGAAACTGCCAGAACCACATGTACCTCATCCCAGTACTTGGCAAATTTCTCCCACATGCTTTCAGCCATACTAGAGACAAGAGTATTGGAATCAGAACACCAATCCAGCAATTTCAATCTTAAATCACAGATCTTGGGGAAAAACAGATTGGAAGTGGGATACTTGCTACCAGAAAATAGCTGAGTAATCTCACTGAAGATTTCAAGCTTCTCAATGATAATGGCAGCAAACTGCCAATGCATACTAGTAGGGACAGTATTGTATTGACTATCCCTCTGTCTCAATCGAGAGAACACATCCCTGTATATAATAGCAACAGACAACATATCATAGGTGGAATTCCACCTTGTAGGACAATCAAGCACAAGTTTCTTTGTACAAGTCACCTTAATCTGTTTAGCAGTTTCAAAGAAGGTCTGAACCCTCTTAGGTGTAGAGTTCCAGTACACAACACTCTCCCTAACCAAATCAATGCCATCCCTGATGACATCCAAACCATCTTGCACAATAAGATTAAGTACATGAGCAGAACATCTCATGTGAACTAGCATACCATCCAACAACAAATCATCCATAACAAGTTTGGTTTTCAGATGGGTTATCATAGCATCGTTGGTAGTACAATTATCCAAGGTAATAGATGACAACTTGCTATCAATATTCCAATCAATAAGACACTTGAACAACCTGTTTCCCAGCCTCTCACTAGTGTGAGGAGCATGGACATAAACAAAACGTAGCATCAAGTTTCTTAACTTCCAAGAATTGTCAATAAAATGACAAGTTACTGCCATATAACCCCTCTTTTGGTTGGGTGCAGTCCACATATCAGTGGTCACTGCAACTCTCCCAATATTACCATCAAGAACCTTCTTCAAATTTGCCATTTCAACCCCATATAATCCCATTATGTCATTCTTCACTGTACCCCTACAAGGCACAGTGAACTGTGGTTGCAAAGAACAACAAAAACGTCTGAACCCCAAGTGTTCAACAATACTTAGAGGATATTCATGGACCATAATCATTGAGCACAATTCCTTCCTAGACACATCAGAACTGAACTGAGAAGCAGATAGCAGTGGTTTCCCAGTTGGTTTATAATCAGGACCCAAAACTCTCCATCTACCATAATGTATCTTTCTTTGGGTACAAGTTTTGTAATGGTGCCTCAGATGGGAGGTTCCATTACTAGTATCACCACCAAGTCGTTTTTTACAGTAACGACACTTAGCCTTAACAACACCATTAAACTTCACTCTAACAAAATGAGGCCAGACATCAGAAGTCAACTTCTTATCTTCCTCAAGAATGACTTCACCAGTTTCAATCCCATCAACCAAATTAACAGTACCATTACCATTACCATTAACAGTACCATTACCATTACCGTTAACATTACCATTAACATCAGGATTTAGAGAATTAGGCACAGGAGGATCATTTACATTCAAAGCATCATTTGCAATTGCACCATCCATCTACATAAATGAAAAATACAATCAATCAATCTTCAAGACTCAGACAGAGCACACAAGCAAAGCAAGCAATCGACACATGCAAGCTACACATACAAATCATAAAACAGGGCGGATTTAGAGTCAGTCTATGCCTAACCTGTAATCTGGAGAGGTAGGATTTGTCGACCAGACTGCAGATGGGGAGTTAATGCCTGATGCCTGATGCCCTGATGCGAAGCTAATGAACTCGAACAAGGCAAAAATAAAAACAACTTTGTGTTAGAATTCATTGAATGATAAAGACCAAGTTAATAAACTAGGAAAATTCAAGTTTTAAAAGTGATTACCTCGACTGTGCTCTGAGCAAAGTGAAGGTAATGATGAACGAAAGAACTTAGAACTGAGGTTGCCTCTGACCCTGAAATCAATCGACAGGGTTACTATATACATGAAAGCAGAAGAAGATGGAATAGATAGGAAAACGAAAGGAAAAGGGAGAAGAAGCTTATCTGTCATCCGTGATGATATCACGCCAATTTCTCCCAATAATTGCGAATCGAAGATTGCAAGAGGCATTTTAGGGGTTTGCATGTTGTTTTCCGGCCAAATCGGCGGCAAAACAAGCCTCCGATTGGCCAAATCGGAGGATTAATGATTGCCTACTAGCGATAAACCAGTGGATGAAGAGGATTTTGTGGGGAATCGGCGAAATTTTGGAGCTAAATCAATGCTCGCGTGCTTGGGTGGAGAGAAATAGAGAGGAAGATGAAAGGAAACGGCGGCAGTCGACAGGCAGAAAGAAGAGGAAATGAGGGATTAGGGTTTCTGGGTCTTTCTTCGGCCTTTTATACCCATGTGCCAAAACGGCGTCGTTTTGTGGACGGACGGGGATGGGGCGGATAGTTCTCGATCCATCCCCATGAGTAACCCGCTTCTGACGGGTTTCGGGTATGCCCGAATTCGGCAATTCCCCACTGCGGCCGGTTATTGAGACCCCCGTTGAGTCGGATTTCGGGCGGGTACCCGGCGGGGCGGCCAGGGTTCCCATCCCTATCCAAAATATGCATTCGTCCATTTTTCTGTCCAATACACTAACAGAAAAAGAAACACGCCACATTGGCATTTCCTCTGTGCTTAGTAGTCAGTAGATCTATGTTAAAGAAGCTGCTATTGAAGTGACGGAGCTGAGGAGAAGAGGAGGAAAAATGTGCGCTATTGAATGTTTGCAATTAGGGTTTCTAATTTTTCGTTTGGTTGTATTAATTAGCAATAGAGTCGAAATTTGGTCAATAATTTTTTATCAAGCAATCTGGAAATTTTCATTAAGTTATTGTTCTGGTGATAGGTAGGAATCGGAATGGGCAGGTTCGGGGCGGGTATCTTGATACCCATACCCGCCCCGTGGCATGTCAGGTCCAAGCCGGGTAATTTATCATGCGGCGCGGGTCGGAGCAGGTCGACCTAATGGATATGTAAATTATATGAAAAATATTATAAATATTTGTTACTTTCATTAAAAGGCCAAGGAACAAACCATAATATGATAAAATGTAGTTAAGTTATTGGAGAAATTGATGTTTCACTCATTTACAACTTTATTATTGCTAAAGTATGAGGTAATAAAGTAAAAATCCTAAGTAATCTGACTAAGATTACATGAAAACTAGACAAGAACGGGTCGAGAATGAGGCGGGTCAAGGCAAGTCTGGTCTATGAGAGTTACCCATGCCCGTCCCGCCCCAAAACAAGTCAAACAGGTCGAATAAAACTGGTCAAGTCGAAATTGCCATCCCTAGTAATAGATTGGGAAACGATGCGAATGATGTTTGGGCTTCAACAATTGATTGACTTCTTAATAAAACTTTTCACCGTTATAAAAAAATAGCATTGCTATTCGTAGCACTAAAATAGCTTATTCATCGCCCTAACTTTTATTAAAATGACTCTAATGTCCTTTGTTTAGCTTTTGTCTTTCAAAACATATAAACACTAAACAAACACATACATCTATACCAAATAACATATTAATTAAAAAAATATTCAACGAAAAGAACAAAATACAATGAATGTGTGTGTGTGTTTTTTTTTTGCAAATAAGCTTTGTCTTCTCTGTGGGGGAGCATGGCTTTGTTCTTATCATCCCTGGGAAATAGTTGGGTTCATTCTGGTGAAGTTGCTGCATTCTTGTTAGCTCTGGGTAAAATTTGAAGTATTTGGTTTATTTGTAATTTAATTAGTGAAGGCGAGATTGAAAGAGATCTATGAAGTGCAATCATTCTTCCTTTGAATCAAGGCTAAAAAACGAATTACATTAGAGCCGCAGCTATTGAGAAAGTCCACGCAGGGCTAACTCTAAAAACACATCACTTCAACAACTTAAACGAAACTTTCCACCAGACAACTGGCTGCTTCTTCCCCTCAACTCCGGCGACGTCAGCTCTTCTCCCTTCTTCCTTCGCGGTGGACCAAGCAAACAAAGCGGGTCGGCGGGTTGGGGAAATGGCAGCGCCTGCCGGGATTCGGCTGGTGGATGGGACGAAATGGAGCAGAGGGTGAGATCGGGGTGAAATTGTGTTTGTTTAGAGATTTTTTTTTATCGGCCATCTGTTTTTATTAATATTGGAAATCAGTTCTGGCCCAAAGGCCCAAGGCCCAAATCGGCCTCCACCATACAAAGAAGATTACTCGGTGGGTTGTCCACCCAAACCATTTGATGGTTCCATCCCAACCCAGAGTGGGCTAACCAGTGAGCCAGAGAATTTGTCTTCCTCGACGAGAATCTCCATCTAACCTTGTGTCCCGACAACCTCTCATTCTCCAAAGCCAGTTCCTCGATCTCCTTGCACCAAATTCCCAATTCTGTAAAATCAGGCTCTCCTTTGTCCAAAAAGTTAACCAAATCTTGACAATCTGATTCAACTATCAACGGGCTGAGAGATCTGTGGTTAGCTTCGCGAAGTCCCATCACCATCGCCTTTGCTTCAGCAACAATGGGTCGGCAGAGCCCTTTCTCTCTCTTCACCATCACCCCGACAAATTCACCCCTCCAGTTGCGCAATACAGCTCCCAATCGAACTCCCTGTTGCTGGATTACTCCTGCGTCACAGTTCATCTTGAAGACACCTTCAGGGGGAGGAAGCCATCTGTCAGTTCTAGCATTTACATTACCGGTCGAGTCAGCAAAAGATGATGAAGATGGAGAGGCTTGAGCTTCCAGGAAGGAGGATAGCCACCCAAGCGCTTTTGGTATGATCTCTTCCTCGTCCTTCTTCAAATTGTTGTATTTGTGATTGCATCTTTCTTTCCATAAGAACCACAAAATAGCACAGAACCTCTGGATTCTTTCCATTGATGCAGATCTGAAAATTTGAGCTAACCAATCAATACAAGACTTCCCTTCTCCTATCTCATAAAGCTCCTTTTCTCCATAGTTCTTCCATCTCCTCCTGATCCACTCGCATTCACGGAGGGCATGGGTTTGAGTTTCTGGAAGGTTGCAGAAAGGACATTCAGGAGCTGAACTTTCAATCCACTCCTCCACATTCACTCCCACAGGTAAAATATTCTTACACATCTTCCATAGAAAAATGCGAACCTTTGGTTGAATCTGAATATTCCACAAAAACTTCCAGAACTCAGGGTCCTCCGAGTTTCTATTATGAAGCCGGACTAGTGTATCATGTTGGTTTCCCCTGATAAACTTATACGCAGACTTAACAGAATAAGCACCATTTTCATTGTACATCCAGACCCTAGAATCCTTCCTTAGGGGAAAACGTATAGGGATATTAGAAATTAGGGTTTGAATTTGAGGATAGGGGTTCATTTTGCATGGTATAAGGCAAAAATATTTAAATTTTGGGTGACAAATAACGATTCAGTAAAAAAAAAGCTTTTATCCGATCTGTTGGTCGGATGAATTTTATTTTATTTTAGTTGATCAATTACTTCATTCTTTTAAATAATTTGAGATTTTCTCAAATATTGAATTCATTATTTCAAAGTAATCTTTATGTTATTTGGTGATTATGACATTAGCGATAATTAGTTAATATGTATTTTTCTATCAAGACGTCCTAGTGTATTGTTGTGTATTTTTTTCATATCTTAGAAGAAATTTGTGGACTTTTTATTTTCAAATATGAATTTTGGGTTGGAAGGAAATATATGTCATCTAGAATTGGTAGGAATTGAAGGTATATTAAAAATCAAGAGAATAACGAAAAGATTATGCCTAGAAATCTCAAATATGGAAGAACACAAAAAAATAATACTTATTGTATAAATTATTATAATTTAGTGTATAGGCTTGTTTAGATAATAAGTGGGGATGTTAACTGTTTGATACTAATACACGTACAAAAGTTAAGAAAATTCAAACATTATAAAACCTTAAATTCTATTCTACCAATACGATCTTTGACTTGTTATGTGGAGTTAATAACATAAATTGTCACTCTACTATCCATTTTTCTCAAATCTATCCCTCTACTATTTTTCACATCAAACATGTCCGAGTAATATATAGTATATAAGTATTAACAAATTAAATTTACCCCATTTTATCGCTTAACTTCTCCGTCTGCAACTCGTAATAATTAATAGTCACAATTCCATCATCCATCTGTTCCGCTTTCTCTTCCTTCGACCCAACACTAAATAAATGCAAAATCTTGTCTGCCACGAAAGAACCTTGAAGATCGACTTTTGAATTTCAACAACTCTTTGAAAGTCCTCAATTGTTGATTGATTTGACTCAATTATCAAAATTGGAACCTAAATTTTTTAGAATATATGGATTTCAAAGTATCAAAGGTTATCAACTCGGTTTAGCTCGTTGGCCAGGTCAATCAAGTGGGTTGAGGGTTAATGGTCCAGCCATTACTCGAATTTATGAAAAAGTCATTATATTGTTCATATATTGATAAATTATATAAAATATCATCTACATATGAATAATATTCTTCCTCGCCCAGACTATCTACATTTGTTTCTCTATCTGCTGCTTACCACTATCCTCCTTCGAGCTCCTAAAAAGCACTCCAACAACATGTATTCATCACGCTATGAAGATCGCACTCATATGGCGACGATGTGTGTCAGATGTGGAATTAATGAGGAATGACCAAGTGGGAATCGAACATGGGGATGTTTGCAAGGGAAGGCAATATGTAATGGAAGGCGAGTTTTGCGTAATCTCTTTGTCTACAAAATTGACTCAACGAATTTAGCTTACCAATTCCTGGAGTAGGAGCCAGAACGGGACCAAGATAGCGTATATTCTTCAAGAAGTATAATTTGAGTGCGCTGAAAGAGTGTGAATATTATAGTAATTTAATTAATATATCATTTGACTTATTAACATGGTTTGGTTAAAATATTACAACAATGCAGTGGAAAAATAAAATTATTTTAGTAGAATGACAACTTTAAATAATCTGATTAGGCTCGAAAAAGGAACAGATTACAAAATTTGAATAGAAACCCACCAAATTTTACGATGTCGTTTTTAGTTTTTTCATTTTAGAAAATTTGAAATGAGACGACAATTTTCTCATTTTATTATTACATATTGTGTAGAGTGCATATAAAGATGTGTCATTTTCCTACAAATTCATTAGCAAATTAAAAAAAGGTGACATGAACCAACTTGTTAAACTTCTAATGATTGTTGGATCCAATCATGTCAGAATAGGAAGAAGTTTAAAATTTGACGGTTAGCCGAACTAAAATGTTCAAGGAACCAGTCTCATATATTCTACACAAAGATAATGAATACGATTGTTTCATAGTAGGTCTAAAAATTAATAAGATATATAAGAATTATAGATCACTTCTGCATATTCAAACCAATGATATTTGGGCCGCGATTTTAAAGTTATCCTTTATTTATAAGATATATAGGAATTTAGTTAAGTATTAAACAATAATTAAAATGAGAAATTTGGCATCTGTTAGTCACACAAAGCTTCAACTCAACTGCATGTCCCTCTAATAATTTTTGCTTCTTATTTGTATGAGAAGAGGTCGATTGGCTCTATGACTGTGCAGCTGGAGAAAAATGAAATTTATTATTGTGGAATTATGATGACTTTTGAGATGGTTGGGTCTTTATATAGGCTCTCGAATCTCAAGCAAGAAGAAGAGACTATGGGATAGTCGAACATGGGTTGTGATGTTCCATGTTGTAGGGTTTTGTGATTAGTAAAAGGATGATATGACAACGTAGCTACATACACAAATTGTTGAAAACAACATCTTTTTGAAGTGGGCCGATGCTCAAATTAGTTGGTTAAATCGGTCGGATTTGCCGATTTGATTGGGTTTTCATGGGTTTGACCGAGCTCGAGTAGACAACCAACAGGGCCTTCGGCACCCGCTGAGATACTTAGATTTAGGTATTGGTTCGACCAGCAGAGTCAAACTTGAATTGACTATCATGGTTATGACTCTTGTATGTGTTTGAAGATACATTAGTTCAAATCTCAATACTTGTCTATTTTCTATACAAAATAAAGATGAATAATGGCTCATTCATACGTTTGCTCTCGTTGGAGGAAATTTATAATGGGACGACAATTTTATCATAGATTTCACATAGTACTTTTGATCGAAAAATAAATCTGATTTCTTTTATATTGTGTAGAGTGTATATGTAGACATGTCCTTGCTCTACAAATTCATTTTAATACATAAAAATAGATGAAATAAACTAACCTATTAAATTCAATCTCGTCTAATGATTGTTGGATCCAATCATGCCTGTCGGATTAGGAAGATGTTTAAAACTTAAAGATTAGCCGAGCTAAAAAGTTCAAAGAACCCGTCCCTATATAGTTTGTAGAAAGATATGAGTATGATTGCCTCATAGTAGTTCAATAAACTAATACTAATGTAAGAGTTCAACATCGCTTATACAAATTCGATATTGCAATTCGATTTGTTATATTGAACCAATGATATTTGGTCTGTGATTTTAAAGTTATCCTCTATTTATAAGATAAATAGAAATTTAAATTTAAGTATAACAAATATAATTAAAATAATTATATATGAAAATCGAAGGATAAAAAAGCCAATTAGCACCGAAGGAAGATTTAGCAACCTTAGCTAACCGTTGAAAAGTTCTGTCATTTTTAAATTTTATCTTCATGTGTGTTTTTATTTAAATTGATATAACTAATCCATATAGCTTGATGGTTAAGATGTTTGTTATTATTGAAAATGGTCATGGTTCAAATCCTAGTATGTTTTTCTTTTTTAGGAATAAATGAGAAACAAATAGATCATTGCGAAGACAAAAATACTTTTCCTATTTTCACTCTCGTTGCAGGAAATTTTGAATGGATGTGGAAGTTACAATAACCAGCTATTAATATACTTGTAGATAGATTTTTTTTGGTTGGATTAGTTCAGCAAGTGAACAAAAGTCAAGAATGACATGTCAAAAAACAAAACAAAAATAACTAACATATCGTTTGGTATAAATGAATTCCATAAGTTTTGCAGAATTCATTTAGAAATGAAATATTTTTGTGTTTGGTATTTAAAAGAATTCATTTTCAATTATAAATTTTGAATTCTATTGAATTGGAACTAGTTATAGCAATTCCGAGGAATTGAGATGGAATTTCCAAATGAATTCCACAAGTATTTACTAATTATAATAGAATGATACGATTACCATCTTTTATTAACTAAATTCCTTATACATATGACATAACAAACACATGAATTCATTTGACAATGAATTCTACACGGCAATTCATTTTATTTCTAAGGATTTGAATATGACTTACCAAACACAAGATTTCATTTGACAATGAATTTTACACAATAATTCATTTTACAATGAAATGAATTCTCGATTCATTTAGTACCAAACGATCTGTAAACAACTTTTGAACTGCAATCAATGGTGACGTGTCTGAAAAAAAAATGACAGATGCCCATTTTGATAATTTTCATGATATTTGATGCCCTGCTTTGAGTTTGGTGGTATTATTCCCCCAATTCTATATGTTTAGTTGTCTCCATTTCAAGATGGGTGGTAAGGTACGTTTACATAACGAGGAATTTTACAATGCTATATAGCATTGGTGCTATAGATTTTTATTTTTATGGTACAACTTGAAATTGTACATTTAATGTTATGGTACAACTTCAGATTGTACCTATACTTTTTGTACAAATTCTTTTATGGTACAAATTAAACTTGTACCTTATGTGATGGTACAACTTCAAGTTGTAAAGTTGTACCATAACATAATGATACAAATTCCTTTATGGTACAACCTAAACTTATACATTTAATGTTATGGTACAACTTCAAGTTGTACATTAAAGCACCAATACTATATAGCATAGTAGAAGTGCTCTTACATGACTTCGTACACTATTATTTATTCCTCTTCTGCTTCTCCAAAACCCTAAGTAGGAGTAATAATAGTTTAGAGTATGCATGTAGCCAATTATACTCCCTGTGGCAGCATAGTTAGTAAGATCGGGTTATAGGTTAGGAATAAAACATTTTGACCGATTAAAGTATCACCCATTTCACATCAATGTGAACTAAGACGCAACTTTTTCCTTATCGTGATTTGGAAGAGAAAAGTAGGCAAGAATAAGATGAATATTTGGGCAAGACAGCAGCAACCAGCCACGGAAACAAAAGGACAACAGTAATCCATGGATCACAAGTTTTGGATTATAAGAGAAACAACGAGAGTCATTTGAAAGTTGCAATGCTTTTGTGTCACAATGTTTTTGTGAGATTGTTATTGTTTATAATACATCTTTTTTTTCTTACACAAAACATTAATTATTTTTTACGTGACATAACTTATTGTACAAAATGAGTAATTCTTATTTTCCTATGTTTAGTTGAGAGAGTTGAGTTAAAATTGTTTGAATCTACAAATCAATAACTCACTCACTACTTGTTTTCTATCTTCTGTTATGTGTTCCCATCACAAAACAGTGGAGAAATTCCTTCTGTTCAATCCAGTATTTCCTTACTCAGACCTTTTGTTTTCAATAATGGAGAAATTTGTTTTTGATCAACCCAACTATACGATCATCTGCAATCTGGGTTTTGGTTTGTTTAAATATATGCAATGTATACCTCTTTGTTTCACGTACTCTCCTTGTTTCTTCAATGATTTTGAAAAGAAATTACTCATTCCTGCTGAAGAAGTCTACGTATGTTTTCAACGCTCTGTAATTAATTTATATTTAAGCGGTAATTTATTAAAAACGATAAGGACAAATTGGGAAATC